CCCACTAAATGATAAAGATATTTCATTATTTCATAAATGAGGTTGAGTTAGGGGTGTTAATTGTTATTAGAATTTAATTCATTAACACAGTAAGCTCTCATGAAATGATGTGAAATTACAGGAGGGAGAAAGTAATTGATGAACACTATGTTTTTTATTTGTTGTTTAACGTCCCTTTCAAGAATTTTTCACTCAATTGGAGACACCACCACTTGCCGGTGGAGGGCTGCAAATTTAGACCCTATACTCAGCACCCAGGGCTTTTGAGCAGTGAGGGATATTTTTCGTGCCTGCACCTACTGCGACACGTGACTTCAGTTTATACGGTATCATCCAAAGGACCGGTCTCCATGTCCACAGTGGGATTCAAACCCGCAACATGAGGATCAACTCCTTATTCTGCGACTCTAGAGCAGACGCTCTAAACATAGCCCTACGCAGGAGATGAACAAGACGTCATTCAATTATTAATCTTTAAAGGTTGTAAAAAACAGAAAGAATAAGACAGTTCTTCATTTCACTTTGAGCTTTTAAAGGGTGATAATTTTAATGTACCATAACATTTAAAAAAAATAAAACTTTGACATAAAGACATTTTAATAAACAAGTGCTTACATATTTGATATTTTGTTGAGAAATAAAAAATCGAAGTTTTGAATCCCTCTTTCAAATAAAATGGCAAATAACTTCAATGCAGGTATATGGGAAAAAATAGTTTCAGTTTAACAAAATAATTTTATAGCTTCATGAGTATTTTATGGATGAACAGAACACTGTGTCATAGTGAAAGTAATCACTCAAAAGTTCTAGCTGCATATCCTAGTGAAAAGAAAATTTATTTTAAAAACACAAACTTTGGTCTACCATTTTTGAAAAATTCACAATCAAGGTAGTAAGCCATATATATAGAAATAAAATGTAATTCTTTAATGTTATTTTCTGACTTTCCCTATTGATAAACTTGTATTTAAATTGGAATGTGTGAGTCCTTGACAAATATTCAAAACAAGCTCTCATTTCAAGGGGGGTCGTTCTCTTGACGTCAGCGGTATGAAGAACAAGGTTTCCGGGTTGACAAATTTTCTCTAAGTTTGGGGTTTTATACCACTAGCCATATCCTCCTCTGATCTTGAAATATAATTTTCGTCACCATCCATCAAGACGTGTGTGTGTGGTTTAAGTTTTCTCTGTCACCATCAGACACAATCATTGAGAGCTAGTGGTCTAATTTCTGAGTTGTGATTGAACAAACTAGTGATTTTAATTAATCCTGTACTTGAAATACGACACTCACCAGTAACAGTCAACACAGTCAGATCTTGCATAAAAACAAAATACATAAAATAAATGTATCTTAAGCCTTTAATGTCCACATAAAGAAAATGGACATAATCTAAAACCTACTTGATTCAATTTTTCCCCAAAAAAATTTCAATGTGACAACGATCAAGCAAGTCAAAGAGCACGTGTCAAAATCAGGCCAAAATAAAATTATAGTTTGTTTGGAATTGCCTCCCGCCTCATTGAAATACCCCCCTCCTGAAAAAATTTTAATGACCAAAAGTAGGAAGATTTTTTTTTATTTAATCAATTTTTTGCCTATTACATGTATCACATACAAAACACTGAAATATAGTGTCAGATCTATGTAAAATTAGGTTTTTAATTAAAAAAAAAAAATTTCCCTCCCTCCCTCCTGTGTCTGAAACCCTTCAGGCGGCAATTCCAAACAAACAATTTGTTAAGGATGGCCTCACACAGAGCATCTCAGCTCTAAATTCGCTGGAATCAACATGTACCGATATATCTTATTTTAATTATCTAAACACATAGAAGGAACAATTTTTTTTTCTTTTTTAGAAAACATTTCCCTACTTAGAAGATTACGCCACTTCCCTTTATAGAATTAAAAGAATTCAACAAATAAGTCCAAATAATTAAGTCTTTAAAGTTTAGGAGAAGATGAGATTATGAATTTTGAATTAGAGATGTTTTTTCTCATTTCTTTTTTCTTTGATTTCATCCTTTTTAGTGGAAAAGAAAAATAAAATAACATTTAAAATAAAACTTATTTAATAACAAATCTTCCCAGTGATTAAATAAATGCCTACACGAATAAGTCTAAAATTTACACCCTAACCTTCAAACCACTATACTCTGAACACCCCCACCCACCCTCTTCTTTATGTAGGGCCTAAGGGGTCCACATCAAATGATCTCCGAGATAGCTAATTAGCCCGCAGCAGAATAATTAGCACTTTAGACTGAGGTATTCTTATAGCTCTTTTTTATGATAGGGTATATGTTAAATTCATTTTCACCATCTGAAATTTATGGGGAAAAATAATTGACCATTGTATACAATCATGCACCCTTTTATTTTGCACTAAAAATAAACAATTCAATCTTTCTTTCTATCCTGTTTTGTTTTCAAAATGATTTAAATTACATTTCCCTGTGTGTCCTTGTAATTTTTCGATGACTATATATGCCTCCTTACATAGGAGATAAGATAAGAGAGCGGGACAAGTGTATGCTGGGAGATAACGGGCTCCTAAGTGATTCATGTCAATCAACACATTACCAAAAGCACTCTTCCCTTCAAAAAACGTCACTGGCCCCCCTCTCAAGCACGTAAGTGATCGCAAGGCTATAACAACACAAATTCCCAAAACTCTTTGACTATAAGGAACTATGGGAGAGCTATCATCGGCAGTAAACACTTCATCTCGCTAATTGTTCTATTTAAAAAATATATATTTCTATGACGTACGTTTCAGTATTTACAGACCTTGCATTGTTAAACATAGTTTACTCTGCTGAAATGTCATTTTTGATAACAATAACTTTTTCTACAACAGAAAAGGCTTAATGTAAATAAACAAGGGACCTCTTAGTCAATTGGCCTTCACGGCCTCTATTTAAATAAAACATTTCTTTTATTTAACACATATTTGTTTACATATCCTATTGTAGTTGGTACAGAAAACTTTTTTTCCTAGAATTTACATAAAGCCCAACAAAAAATAAGGCTTAATATTGTTTTTTAGTATTTGTTACTCCTACATGTACGTACATAAAACAATACCAGATTATCGAACTTCAAATCATTTTGATTCCTAATATAAGATTTATAAGTCTTGATATGCCTTTTCCTTAATTTCTTATTAGTATATCTTCATAATTATCATTATTCAATTAAAGATTATGCAATTAAATCAGTTTCTCCCATATCTAATGAACGTCGATGCACTAAAATAACCAAAAAAACTCTGCATGCAATAAAAATTACACATATACTATTGAAATCAAATTATAATTAATACGCGTACATTAATTTTCTGTAAGTCATCATACGTTTGAGGAAATGATTACTGTCCATCAGTATAAATAATGTTTGGTAACATGAGAAATGAATATTTAATGGGACTCTTATGTCCAAGTTCCTGTCCAAGAACAATTACATCACCCCTCATTTACACTGGTACAACCTGAATCATTGAATACTAATTACTTCTTCGACTATAAATTAGTAATTATAGACAATTTTGACCACCAGCTGTCAGATGTGAATTTTAGACCTCAATTTACACATGTATAGAACTTAAATTTCACCAAAATTACAGGCCGGACTGTTCCTGCTACAATGTTTACAACAGAACATAAAAGAATGCCTTTTCCACTTAAGTCAGATATAGCTACGAGGTACCCTTGCTAGCTATGTTTTGGTTATAGCGGCTAAGTCTGATATGACCTGCTTCTGTACTCTAATGGAGTAAGAAATACAGCCGAACTTCGATATCTCAAACACGGCTATCTTGAATACCACAGATAAGTCAAAGTCATTTTTAGGGCTGGGCAATAATATCGATATTTCAATATATTGCAATACAATGACAAAATATATCGTATCGCAATACGATTTTGTAATATCGATATATTGGCAATATGCTTAGATTAAGGAATTTTGTCATTAAATATCAAAATGGACTAATGAAAGTTTGTTATTAAGCCGAACAGTACAACAGAAGTTGTTTTGTGGGAACATTTCAGAGCATAACTTTAATGAAATCAACAATTTTTTTGTCAGTGTTGGTTACTTATCATAGATATGTACATTCTGTGTGTAAATTAAAGCAAATTTAGGAAGAAAATGCCATTTAAATTACACTGAAAATATTGCAATACATATCGCAATACAGTTACAAATATCGCAATATATCGCAATACAAAATCTCGGGCCAATACCCAGCCCTAGTCATTTTGATGTCCCAATTACTTTTATCCTTGATATCTTGAATCCTTGGTTATCTCTCATTTTTTCTCAGCCCCTTTGAGTTCAAGATAGCAATGTTGGACTGTACTTGCTTCACTTTTATTGCAATTATACCTAACACTTTTGTGAAAGCGCTGCTGTAATATTTGCTTTAATTATTGGGCCTACACCCAACCCTTATATGTGTATTGTATCTATGCATCACATAGCTGCTTTGTATACTGTACCTTTGCCTTATATACCAGCTTTGCATATTGTACCTGTGCATAACAATCAGTCTTCACGAAAACTTTTCAAACTAACTGGCCAGCCGGACCAGTGAACTTTCAAAATTTACTGGCCCACCAAAATTTTTACTGGCCCCTTAATTAAAAAAAAAATAAAATAAATAAATTTTCATAACTGTAAATTTATACATGTTTACGTACTTCAACTTTTGAAATGCCGCCATTTTTTATCCTTTGTCGCGTTTTGGTAAGTTGTTCGTTGGAACTACGCACATTTTACGTACTAGTTAATAGTTACTAGCTAGTTCCGGTTGTTACGTAATACATCCATGTTATAACAGGTTTATAATAATACAATTCAACAACATGTGCTTGTTCTTTTTATTTTATATATTAATGAAATTTACGCAAGTAAGACAGTTAAAAAATATATTGAGTGTGTATAATTTTTATAATCAACAAGCCATCGGACTTCTTGAATTTTGATTTTCACTGACCCGACATCAAAATTCACTAGCCTCGGTCTTCGGACCAGTGAGTTTTCGTGAAGACTGAACAATACCAGTTCTTTGCCTAGTGTGGCCATGACTAACCTGTTTTGCATAATGTACTATGTACTGATGCATGTTACATACTTTCTTAGAATGTTGTGACTATGTTTGACTTTCTCTGCGTATTGTGACTTTGTATGACTAACTTGCTTTGTGTATAGTACTGATGCATATGTTATATATGTATGACTAACTTGCTTTGTGTATAGTACTGATGCATATGTTATATATGTATGACTAACTTGCTTTGTGTATAGTACTGATGTATATGTTATATATGTATGACTAACCTGCTTTGTGTATAGTACTGATGCATATGTTATATATGTATGACTAACCTGCATTGTGTATAGTACTGATGCATATGTTATATATGTATGACTAACCTGCTTTGTGTATAGTACTGATGCATATGTTATATATGTATGACTAACCTGCTTTGTGTATAGTACTGATGCATATGTTATATATGTATGACTAACCTGCTTTGTGTATAGTACTGATGCATATGTTATATATGTATGACTAACCTGCTTTGTGTATAGTACTGATGCATATGTTATATATGTATGACTAACTTGCTTTGTGTATAGTACTGATGCATATGTTATATATGTATGATTAACCTGCTTTGTGTATAGTACTGATGCATATGTTATATATGTATGATTAACCTGCTTTGTGTATAGTACTGATGCATATGTTATATATGTATGATTAACCTGCTTTGTGTATAGTACTGATGTATATGTTATATATGTATGACTAACTTGCTTTGTGTATAGTACTGATGTATATGTTATATATGTATGACTAACCTGCTTTGTGTATAGTACTGATGCATATGTTATATATGTATGACTAACCTGCTTTGTGTATAGTACTGATGCATATGTTATATATGTATGACTAACCTGCTTTGTGTATAGTACTGATGTATATGTTATATATGTATGACTAACCTGCTTTGTGTATAGTACTGATGTATATGTTATATATGTATGACTAACCTGCTTTGTGTATAGTACTGATGTATATGTTATATATGTATGACTAACCTGCTTTGTGTATAGTACTGATGTATATGTTATATATGTATGACTAACCTGCTTTGTGTATAGTACTGATGTATATGTTATATATGTATGACTAACCTGCTTTGTGTATAGTACTGATGCATATGTTATATATGTATGACTAACCTGCATTGTGTATAGTACTGATGCATATGTTATATATGTATGACTAACCTGCTTTGTGTATAGTACTGATGCATATGTTATATATGTATGACTAACCTGCTTTGTGTATAGTACTGATGCATATGTTATATATGTATGACTAACCTGCTTTGTGTATAGTACTGATGCATATGTTATATATGTATGACTAACCTGCTTTGTGTATAGTACTGATGCATATGTTATATATGTATGACTAACCTGCTTTGTGTATAGTACTGATGCATATGTTATATATGTATGACTAACTTGCTTTGTGTATAGTACTGATGCATATGTTATATATGTATGATTAACCTGCTTTGTGTATAGTACTGATGCATATGTTATATATGTATGATTAACCTGCTTTGTGTATAGTACTGATGCATATGTTATATATGTATGATTAACCTGCTTTGTGTATAGTACTGATGTATATGTTATATATGTATGACTAACTTGCTTTGTGTATAGTACTGATGTATATGTTATATATGTATGACTAACCTGCTTTGTGTATAGTACTGATGCATATGTTATATATGTATGACTAACCTGCTTTGTGTATAGTACTGATGCATATGTTATATATGTATACTAACCTGCTTTGTGTATAGTACTGATGTATATGTTATATATGTATGACTAACCTGCTTTGTGTATAGTACTGATGAATATGTTATATATGTATGACTAACCTGCTTTGTGTATAGTACTGATGTATATGTTATATATGTATGACTAACCTGCTTTGTGTATAGTACTGATGTATATGTTATATATGTATGACTAACCTGCTTTGTGTATAGTACTGATGTATATGTTATATATGTATGACTAACCTGCTTTGTGTATAGTACTGATGCATATGTTATATATGTATGACTAACCTGCATTGTGTATAGTACTGATGCATATGTTATATATGTATGACTAACCTGCTTTGTGTATAGTACTGATGCATATGTTATATATGTATGACTAACCTGCTTTGTGTATAGTACTGATGCATATGTTATATATGTATGACTAACCTGCTTTGTGTATAGTACTGATGCATATGTTATATATGTATGACTAACCTGCTTTGTGTATAGTACTGATGCATATGTTATATATGTATGACTAACCTGCTTTGTGTATAGTACTGATGCATATGTTATATATGTATGACTAACCTGCTTTGTGTATAGTACTGATGCATATGTTATATATGTATGACTAACCTGCTTTGCATGTTGTGAAAATACATGTCTAACCTACTTTGTGTATTGTACTGTTTCAGATGTGTATGTTACATACTTTTTCTGTGTATTGTGACTATGCATGTTTAACCTACTTTGTGTGTTGTGACTCTGCATGTCTAACCTACTTTGTGTATTGTGACTATGTTTGTCTAACCTACTTTGTGTGTTGTGACTTTGTATGTCTAACCTACTTTGTGTATTGCTACTATGTTTGCCTAACCTACTTTGTGTATTGTGACTATGTTTGTCTAACCTACTTTGTGTGTTGTGACTTTGCATGCCTAACCTACTTTGTGTATTGTGACTTTGTATGTCTAACCTACTTTGTGTATTGTGACTATGTTTGTCTAACCTACTTTGTGTATTGTGACTCTGCATGTCTAACCTACTTTGTGTATTGTGACTATGCATGTCTAACCTACTTTGTGTATTGCGACTCTGCATGTCTAATCTACTTTGAACTTGTGTACTGTTTCAGATGCATATGTTACATACCTGCTTTGCGTATTGGTGTAAAATGACTATTGATGTCCATCCGACTATCACTTGGCCCCAGTGGATCTGAAAAATAAAACAAGTTTTTATAAGTATTGCTGAAGATCAAGGAAATACTGCATGCAGATATTATTCTGCAATAAATTGCTCCTTTCATCATCATAAGATTAGATAGAAACACATATAAAACTTAACAGGTGAAATAAGTATACCATTTATATGGGGTTTTTTCTGCAATGATCTATTTTCGCTTTTTCTGCAATATCATTTTTAATTCGCAAAAAATGAAACATGCAGAAATTATGTCAGCTATATTGTGACATACAAAAAAACAGTACCTTTTCTTGAAAAAAAAATCTTAAATTGTAAAAAATTAATTACGCAAAATAAAAACTGTACAAATTTGCCCCTTTTTCGCAAAATTTTCAACATGCGAAAAAAAAACAAACGGATGTACAGTATGACTTTAGAATGTAATGCTCATTCAGACAAGATAAACTAGTGCCAATGGCTTAGTTAAATAAGATATGAGCCCATCAAAATGGATTTCAAAACTCAGTAGTGATTCTTTTTGAATGTTAAATCAGAAAAATGTCTATGTCATGATAGTAAATAAACTTGTCATCATATAACCATAAATTTTCCCACTTACATAAATACCTGTGAGAATTTTCCTTTTCACAAAAATGATTTCTGAGAATTCACATAATATTCCAAACCCTGAGAAACTGTTAAACATCAATTTTTCTACATCCTTTTCCAAATTCTGAATTAAGCACAATAACAAATCCAGTTTTCAGCCATTTTCAGAGTAGATTCCTTCTCAGGTGACCACTCAATGCAGCAGGAGCAAAGTGAAGATTGACCAATTACAGAACATTTATACGCAATTATTCCCAAGTTGTTGATTGTGGTCAACTGATAAAGACCTAATATAAGGCCTTGTTAAAAGCTCTAAATGCTGTGTTTCAAAACATATGCATGTAGTACATTAATACTGCAATATACTGTATACAGGGAAATTTTTGCCCCCATTTTATTTTGGCCCCTTTCAGCTTGCTTTCTTTGGGTGAATTTAAAAGAGGATGAATTCAAAGAATACAGTATAATTTCTTAAACATAACTAGGACCGGCCGAATTTAAAATGGGGCAAAATTGTTTCCAAGTGTGAAAGGGCAAAAATAACACACTAGGGTGAAAATAACCATGTATACAGTATAGAGGAATATGTAATAATTTGTATACAACATAAGTACTGGTTGGTTTTACAAATGCACTTGCAAGTTTTTGCATTTGTACAGCCAACTCCTGCCAATATTCACCAATATAAGTTTGATAACCCTATAATAGGTACTTTATGAAGATACAGGAAACACGTATCTATTATACTTACTTTACAGTCATGAATAATCCAAACAGCGAAAAGACAAATATCCTAATCAAACCGTCATCAATATTAATATCTCTCTATTAATTAAAGCCTACTATTATTAACACAAAAGGATAAATTAACACAATTCTCTAAAACCCACACATCGTATTGGAAAACACCAGCACATAAAAAAATATACCAATCCTAGCTACGCTGTACCCAAACAGACTGATAAATACTTTGGAAATCAACACACATTCTATTTATGACACACCGGTTATTGGTTGTGCATGTATAACAACCGATCAATTTTGCTATCTTTAGAAAATTTCTCTTTTTCAATCATGGTCAATATTCCAGCATCAAAGAATGAAAAGCCACGATCTTGGTAAATAGCTGAGTTTTATCCGTTTATTCTGGGTGTGTGATATCTTGGTCCATAATCGTATAAGAACGAAATGAAATCATACGATGCTCTATGCCTTGATTGTTTAAAATTAGGTGTTATATATAGACTTTATTGAAGATTACTTCTTAAATTGACATTTAAAATTAATTCAATATACTTCAACTATGTAAGGTTAAGAACTTTTTCATTTAATAAGCTTATTTCAATAAGTCCGGCAGATCATATTTCAATTTGACCACCCTCAGAAATTTTGAGAGCATATTTCATTTTATATCAATACATTAATGGTACAAATTCAATCAGATCCCTGTAGCATAATCTATCCATCTACACAGTGTCATCAAATGTTAAGGTAAATCCCTCCTTGGATAAGAGAGATAACTCTCTCAATAATAAATGACTATTAACTGATTCTTTCATTTTCAAGACAAAAAGACATTTTACTGCCAACTTACGCCTCTATCAGAGGGTTACTTGCTCAGATTGTTTGTTATTTCTTTTGAAAAATTGCTAGTGTGTAACATTCCAAAAATTTTATGCATGAACAGAGGGAGGGCAACCTTAGATCACTCCTCTAAAATCATGTGACCCTCATCTTACCAGTATTTGATACTTAAAACGTTAGTTCACCACTGAACTACCTGTATCGTCCCTCATGGTGATTTTGATTTGTGTAAAAATGAAATGTGAAGATCTATCTATCATCTTTCCTAACAGTCCTGGATTATATACAAGTGGAACTCAACATAAGTTGAAATAAAGACTTTTCAAATTCACAATGCATTTGCTCCATCATATCACGATATATCAGACTTATAGTTCTCTGCATTTTTCATGAAATAAATTGCTCCAAAAATTAATTTCACTAAAAGTTACCTTTTTATTGCTAAGTTAGTGCTTTGCTTTTAAAAAGAAAAAAAGCAATATGGTATATAATTTTTTTTTTTACACACTGTCGACAGAAACCTTGCTTGAACTCTGTAGCCCATTATGTCGACAGCGGTTTCTAATTATCCTACTTTATCCTTCCAATGTCAGGCTAATAATATTCAAAGAACAGAGACCATTGTACTGAGTGTTTATTTCATGACTCCTCTTTGAAAATATGAGACAAATATGACATCATCGTTAATTGTTAGTGACAAAGTGCGAATCACACGATGACAATGTTCCTCACGTCAGCACGAAATAGATCCGCGTTTTTCTAGTAAACAGTCTTTTGATGCAGCAACATTATGATCAAGCTTTCCGTCAAATTTTTTATCCAAGATCGGCATTTTAAATCAAGATGTTTTCTTTTTTTTTTCTTTGACAAATAAATTCTAAAAACAATCTTGCATGTCATCAGGTGTATTTGAGGTACAAAACTGTAAAAATTTCTGATCTTAGCTTATTACCTGCACTAAATTATAAGAATATCGACATTACAGGTATGATAAATATTGTAAATATTTCCAGACCTGCACTTGCTTAGTAATCTATCTAAATTAAAAATCTATTAAAAGTACATACAGCTTATTTCATGTAAATTTTTATGATTTTTTTTTGTATGCAAACAATTGTAAATATATGGTCAAATCTCCAACTCTGATAATTACATTAGATACAAATCAAAATACCTAATATATACATAAACAGTGAAATCACTAATTTTTGCGGGGTTTCAATTTTCGTTGTTTTCAAGGATAAATGGAGAGACCCTCGAATTAATGACCACCACAAAATGTTAAATTTCAAATGCATAACTACTCAAAAGCATGAAATCAAATTGCTACAAACCCATATTTCTCTCTCTCAAACCTAGATGATCTGACCCCACGAAAATGTGTGATTTTACAGTATATGGATTTTAAGGACACCACTATTTTTACTACATAGGTACATATAGCTTTCTTTAAAGTATACTTGACCCCTAGTCCCCCAAACCTGTCAATGTGATGACTGATGTTTTATATTCAGACCACTCGTACAGAAATTGACAACACACTCATAAGAGGCTTATCATGAAGGCTGAGTAACCAGGCAGTGGCAGGACTCCAACCTTGTTATATTTATAGAGGCCACTGATGAAGCATTATGTAAACCCAATACTTTCATGTGATGTATTTACGGAGACATGCACTTATTCGGGGCCCCCAAAATATCTTGATTTTTTTTTTCTTTAATGACTTTCAGATGGAAATCTAATGTATGTATATACATAAACAACCCTTCTACATGTTGCAATATATATTCTGAAGCTTAAGATATTAATCTGAATTTCTTATGATCGAGATACAATTTGCAGCAAATAGTATAAATTATTTTTGCTTAGTTGTTATGTAAATAGGCAAGCAACTCATAGTGTTTCCCTAAAAAAAATAATGTATGGATTGGCACATATACTTTGTTACATATGTCAATTAATAATAATTTTCTTTACAAAACTATTTTTAAAAAAAATATCAATCAGAGTTTCAACAAACTGCACATTCTAAAATATGCAAAATTAAGGGTATATATATCCCCTTCCACATTAGTCACTGGTATGGCACATTGGTTAAAGCATCTGAGTCACGTACAGCTTGAGTAAAGACTGATTTTTCACATTACAGGTTTGAATCCCACTACAAAACCTGGAGACCATTTCTTTAGATGAGACTGTATGCTGGCACAAAAAAAGATCTCTCACTGCCCAAAGGCCATATTAGTGCCGAGTACAGCTCTTAATTTGCAGCCTTCCACCGACAAGAGCAAAAAATTCTTCAAGGGACTTTATACAAACAAACAAACAAACCTTCCTGAACATTGTGACTTATTACAGACAATGAAGTTGAAGTTTGTTCGAAATATCAAGTAACTGCATAAATAGTAACTGATTGTTTTCCTGCACTACAAAACAGCTAGTATTAGTGGTAAATAGATATACTGACCTTGTTAATTGTTTAAAAATTTGATCAAATACGTCAATCTCACATTCTCAATAAATATTTATTTTTGTAGCTTTCCACGAAAATCTTACCTCTGACATTTTGCGTCAGTATCAATTAGTCATAAGAAACTCTACACGAACTGTGTACAAATAGTACAAAAAGAAATTACGTTGGTTCAATCTATAGATATATTTACAGCTTTGTTGACCAATACAATCTGATAACTAAGATATATATGAAGTCTGGATAAATTGCCAATTAACTACGGCATTTCTCCCACTCACAGATATCTAAACCCAGCATGGTGTTAGGGACTTCGCTATAATCTCAGACAAAAATAGCATTAATAGACCTATTTCAGTCAAGGAATACA